CGAAGCGTTTGAGAGAGGCGGGGCATAGAGGACCTACAATAATGTACAGTATTTGAAAAATAATGTGTTTTTTGAACATTAAAGCATGTCAACATATTCTGTTATACCAAATACACAAAATAATGATCTTTAAAAAAAGCATCATATGACCCCTTTAAATTGTACCTGAAGTATACTTGCAATAGTTCCACTTCAGGACAATCAAATATACTTCAGTATATCTTTAGTTGGACTATAACACTACTGCTGCACAATTAAAGTGCATTAAGCACAAAATTAGTTGTTCCAATTTAGCAGACTTAGGTATATCAGTTTAGTAAACCAACAGTACAATTGCATATTTTAATAATACTATATATATATATATATATATATATATACACACACTCTCTCACACATTATATATAATTTATTGCTTTGATGGCAAAGCTGAATTTCCAGCAGTCACTTTTGATCAGTTAATGCATCCTTGCTGAATAAAAGTAATATTTCTTTTTCATTACTTTGCTGTGATATGGCTAGATGTTATATATTGTTTTCACATTAATACTGACATGAAAACTCATCATAAATGTATTTGTATTAATTAAAAGCAACACAGAAAATGCTAACATGTATAAACACGTGTATTTATACATGATATAAATAATATTTTTTCATTACATTAGTGATCTTTTGCATTATAATGTAAAATGTCACAATGTAATAATCCTTTATAGTACCAAAAGGTGTTTAATTTTTATTGTGCAAACTGTAATTTCTTATTTTTTTCTTTTCTTTTTGTCAATGAAAGATGACCCTGACATATCATTGACAGGCTTTCTGAGATTCACCCATAAATTTGCCGAACAAAATTGCTGCAAGGCAGTAAGACTTGTTTTCAGAAAATATATCTTTAAAAAGTGTCAACTTATTTCATTGGCGTATTTGTTACAAGCATAAAAACTTCAATGCATTTATTTTATTTTTTATTTTGTCAGCCGCCATTTGTTTTGCAGTCACAGGCATATACTCGCAGGACTCTGACATCACAGTACTGTCACACATTCGCAGCCTCTGTAGGTCACACTGACTTTCAAACTGATTCACTCATGCTATCTTTTGCCTCTCTCTCCCTTTTTTTTCTTATGCTCTGAAAGCTGCATTCTCATGAAACGCATACTATGTAGAGAGAATATCGAATGCGAAGCATGAAAAATTCTTTTATGGTGCCACTGTGGTTCAAAGCTTGGATTAAGGGTGCAATTTAATATGAAGTTTATGATTTATAAGGAATCAACTCGCTGACTAAATTTGCCGTTTTTGTGAACATAATCAATTTTATTGATAAATGTTGCTACTGCACTAACCCAGAGAAATGAATAAAGGCAAACTAAGTTGTTTTTAAAGAGGTCTATTTTAAGCCCTAGTCAAAGATATTTTTTTCAAACATCCCTCTTCTCATTACAGTATTACAGCGAGTGTTTGGTTTTCCGTGTGTTCTGGTTTGCCATTCTCTCTCTGCATAATGGTGACCTAGATAGAAAATATGCAATGTGGTTATTCATTCCAGCTTATTCTGTTGTGTTCCCTGTGATTTTCTGCCTAACAGATTTAGCCTTTGTGTGTTAAACTTTCCTCTTTGCTGCTGTACGGTTTGAATGGAGGCCAAATAAAAAGCTGAACTACAGAATATTTCAGTTGTCCGTGTACAGAAGTTGTTATGTCAGTCATCCTAATGTTTGGCTTCGGCGGTCTAATGCTCTGAATCTCCTTTGCAGGTTCTGGCAGGGTGAATATACGGTGGCCGTGAGCATCAATGACTATCTGGACGTGTACTGTCCGTACTATGAGACGCCCCAGCCTCACAGTCGCATGGAGCGCTACATCCTTTTCATGGTCAACCATGATGGTTACCTCACCTGTGAGCACCGCATGAGGGGCTTCAAGCGGTGGGAGTGTAACCGGCCCCAGAGTCCTGACGGACCCCTGCGCTTCTCTGAGAAGTTTCAGCTCTTCACCCCCTTCTCGCTTGGTTTTGAGTTCCGACCTGGACACGAGTACTATTATATATGTAAGTGTTTAGTGCTGTTTTAGCAGTGACATGAGGTGAACTTTTGAAATGAGAAGTGAAAGTCTACTCTATCGGAGCGGTTGCCAACTTTTTTGACTCTGCATTGTCCACAACAGTATTCAAAAGCCAGATATTTCTAGTTTCAGGATTGCTGAAATTTGAAGAACTGAATGTTGTTCAGGGATACCACTTTTTTAAACGGATGAATTTATGTGACTTTTTAGTCGTTCATGATTTACTAGATAAAGATTTTTTTTTGTTCGCTCCCAATTTCTACCCGATATAATAATTTAGAGCTTGGCATAACTAGAAAAAAAGTACATTCATTATGAAAATGCAAATGGAGTTTCAAGATTTGATAAATTTATTTTTCCAGGATTTCCTAGAAATCATACTTTATCATACTTATTCATACTTATCAAAATAAAGTTACTTCATATCCCCTACTACCCCTATTATTTTTGTATTTTTTATATTTTTTATATTATTTATAATTATGTATAATTATTTTAGTATTAGTATATATTATCATAGTTTCTTTTTTTTCCATTATTATTATTTTTATATTTTTAGTTTTCATTTTAATTGAATTTTTAGTTACTTTCTTATGAGCTTTTGTCATTTCTATTCGTTTCAATTAGTACTTTTAGTATTTTTAACTTATGTTTTTAATTCAATATTTATATGTTATTTCATTTTTATTTCCATTACAAAATTTTTTGTAATAGTTTTCGTTTTAGATCATTATAACAACACTGCCACATATTTCCAGGTTTTCATGACAGTGGGAACACTGGTTCTTTAAAGAAAAAAACAGTTGTTGGGTGAATCAAAATAAGAAATCTTGATTTTCAGTTGTCTTGGCTCATTTTAGTGCTTGTTTGTTTTTATTATTATTATTATTTAGTCATCTTCTAGCCTGCTTGGAGGTTTGGAGTGCCCTTGACCTCTGCTTGAGAATCACTGCTCTGTGGGATGTTGTTTTATCAAAAATAAATTCAAGCTCCATTTGATGTTTACTCTTGAAGTTTATGAATTAAAAATAATTACTACAATAAAACATAGGCATATTTTGTGTAGTAATTATTGGCTACAACTAGCTATTATTCATTTATAGTCACCTTTTTTGGACCATTAGTCAGCAAATGCTTGGTAAACATGATTAATGGCAGTCACAGACACAGAGGTACATCTTTAATTAAATCAATCTGAGTGATTACTGTATGTAATTTCAATTTTATTTTGATTAGCACATGAGTTGTTTACTTTGTAATTAGTTCATTTCCACCAGATTGACCCATTCAAGTGGATTTGTGGACCAGCTGTGAACATGACAAGCAGGCATTATCACACTGACAGGGTCAATCAGCCAGTCACATAGACTTTCTGTGACTTTTCAGACTCCACATTCAGGATCTCTGAGAACACAATGAGCTCCAGGAAAGCAAAAGAGACGCTGCCTCACTCTGAAACTTCGTCCGCTGGTGGACCTCAGAAAAATGAGACCTTACGCACAGTTTGAGCTCCTATTTCGTACTATTTGTTTTGTTATTTCTGTTCTGTCATTTGAATTTTTTCTCGCGTCCTCAAACAAAACGCCCCAGAATTACAGGACATTTAGAAAGACGCAAATAGTTTGTGAGAGAAACAGAGATCCTTTAATCTCAAAAGCTTTAGCATTTCCTACATGAGAAACATCCAACAGCTCATTCCCATTAACCTCACAAAGCTTTAAACTGGTGGGTTCAAATGGGAAACTCGTCCTTCACACGTTTGTCCTACTGTCCTCCAATGAAGACAATTTGGTGTGCCTAAACCAAATTAAAAGTAGACATTAAACAAAAAGTATATATTTATTTAATGTCAGCCGCCTAGCTGTTTTAATAAGATAACATGAAAGACTTGTATCAGGAAGATGCTGAGAGAAAACGGGAAGAGGCAAGCAAATCAATAATTTATATGGTAATTACAATTCCTGACATGGGCGGCTGTGGCGTGGGCAGATGTGGCTGGGCCGGGAGCCACCTGTGTACAGTACAGAGAGCCCGGCAACTTTGAGCTCTCGCCGGCTTTGTGTCGCAGAGCCGCACTGTCCATCAGCAGCCATCCCCCATCTGCACAGCGGCCGGATGGGCCTTCCTCGCTCCCATGGAGATTGCCACAGATCCTACATGCTTTTCATTTGACTGCTGATTATTCCCTGATTGACAGCTCAGACTGAAAGGGAGTGAAGCAGGCGCGGAGGGGGCGTCGTTATGAGTCAACATCCCCTCCACCCAAACCCCCCTAAATCAGCAGGGCGTAGCGCTGCTTATCATACACGCCGCAGTGTTGTCTCCGCACACGAGAGAGAGAGGGAGAGATGCCACAAAGAGCAGCAAAAAAGTTCAAAGATACCCTTCAACTCTGTGTTTCTGCCTCTGTCCCCCCAAACTGATTTTTATGCAAGCTCCCAGCCTGGTCCTGCATTGTGAAGGCTTTTGTTTCAGGGCTGGAAAAGGCATTCGGACACCCCCGCTCCCCCGCCAAGACGACTCCATTCAGCACCCCAGCCACTCCCTGAGAGGATTGTTTGGATACCGGCAGCTCTATGGGCGTCACGGTCCCTAAGGGGATTGATGCTTTGCGGCAGGGTCGGTGGGGTTAGCGATGAGAGATGGATCTGAGAGGTTATCACTGGGAAGTGGGGGCTGATCTCGATTGTCTGCTGGTAAAAGAACACGTCCATCAGACCTGGTCAGACTTAACCCCCGGACTTCCATCTCTACGCCCGTATTGATCGGCTGTGATGACATCTTGACAGGCGTCTTCTACACAGCTGCCGGCGGTTGAGGTTGGGTGCTCTCCAATGAACCTAGGATCCGGTGTGGTGAACATGCCACAAGAATACACAATAACCTGGGGTGCTGGGGGAGGGTTGTTCAGGTTGAAGATGACAAACTCTAGACAAGAGTTGGATTTTTTTTTTCTGGGATCTATAGAAAATTTGAGTATAAATTCTAAAACCATCTAACATTTCTCTAATAGTGGTTAGAAAAAAACAGATACATTGTTTCTTAAAGGGATAGTTCACCCAAAAATGAAAATTAGCCCATTATTTACTCACCCTCAAGCCATCCTAGGCGTATATGACTTCCTTCTTTCAGATGAGTCCAATCTGAGTTATATTAAAAATTGACTTTGATCTTCCAATCTGTGTAATGGCAGTCAGTGGGTGTTGCAGTTCATCAGTCCAAAAGAAGTGAAATAAAGCACATCCATAAAAAAGTGCCTCAAACGGCTCCGGGGGGTGAACAAAGGCGTCCTGTAGCGAATCGATGCGTTTTTGTAAGAAAAATATCCATATTCAAAACGTAATAATCACTTTAAT